AATTTCTTGTGGTTGGTTTTGTGTTGGTTTTGTGGATTGGTTGTGGAATATTTGGAGTTAGCATAGAATCATGAGAAAATTTTACTCATTTCAATTACTGTGCATATTAAGTGTTCGGTTAAATGCTCCAAATGAATTTCAATTTTCAAATGAATTAAGTTGATTTCATTGTCAAATGGAGCCAATTTTTGTCATTGCTATTTGACACCCAAAACATGTATTAGGGGTCCATTCTTGTAAATGAGTGTTAATTTTTTGAAAAAAAAGTGTTCTAGTTAGAATTCAAATTTCAAAAATTATACAAATAAAGCCAATATTATAATTTAATTAAATAACATGGGTTTTATCGGATTTGGACGAGAGGATGAAGATGTTTATATCAAAAATCCCTAAAGAAGATATTGCTGATAGTTTTGCAGAAATGGCCAATGCCTACTATCAGAAAAGGCCCCAACTGCTTGCATTACTTCAAGACTTGTACAATGACTGCCTCTCTTTGGCAGAGCGTTATTGCCAATCACTTGCCAAGATCTATCATCATCAATTTTATAAAGGTGACATTGTGTCACTTTTTTAAATTTTGTCATTTTATTTTTTAGTTTTTTGTCACCTTTTAAGTTTGTCACTTTTTAAAGAAGATAAAAAAATGAAATAATACGTTATATTTTCCTAACATAATCAGCATGTGGATTGACTTGAACGTGCTGATTATTTTAAAAACATGATTATTGGTGCTGCACAAATAGATGATACTATTTTGACATTTGTCACTTTTTTTAAGTTGTCACTTTTTTTGGAATTTATATCACTTTTTGAGAGTGCGTCACTTTTTTAAAAAAAGTAAAAAAGTGACATTGTGTCACTTCTTCATTTTACACAATATTTTTTACTTCATCAAAATCTTTCATATGATTTTTCAAAATGTCTCTAATTTTAATAGTATTTTTGTAAATACCCCGTTGTTGTTTACTGGTAATACGTGGTAGCCCATTTATTGTTAGCCATGGCCCTTGGATTCTGCGGCCCAATTAGAGGTAACCTAACTAAATGACTAAAAATCCATCTCTCGCTTCTTATGGCAGCTGTTCGTGTGCGCGCTATGGAGAGAGTGGAAGGAGCAACCAGTTTTGGGTGATTTCTTGAGAGATTAGTCACCACCACCTTTAGCATCCTTTGTGGGTTAGTAAAGGGAAATCAGAGTGGGTGAGAGAGGCAACTAAATAGTGCAAGTTGTTAGTTGTGGGTCGAACAAGCCTCGGGTGGCGTTTGTTTGATGGTTTTCTTGACTTGGATTCCAGATTTCTCGAAACTTCCGCCCAACATTTACACTAATTCTTGGCAGTTGAATTTCTAATAACAGTTGTCACATCTTTGACAGCTCTAAATCATTAGCTATCATCAAAAAAGAAAAAAGGTTGAGGAATCAAATTCATCACTCCAACAAGAATATAACTCGTCCTTATCATTTCCATGGCTTCTCTGTATATCAAGGATATGTTGAACTTTAACAGACTTAGATAATTATATTACATCGCTCAGAATGCAAGCTATAGAACATCATCGTCCAAAAACTATCATCTGCTGAACCGCCCTGGGTGAAGATGATGATTTATTCTTGTTCTCCTATACAGCATGTGCAAATAATCCCGTCTAGCCGAAGCGGGTCCAAATTTAATGAGTGAAAACTTTGCATTCCTTTCTTTACATGAGCATATAACTATATATAGCTGATTCTGATGATACCTTTAGCATAATTCCATGGGATGTACTAGCACCCCTTCCTCGTCCCAGTCGACATCTTTTGCATGGCCTTCTTTTCCAATCAATTGAAGAGGCACATCTAATGGTGGTGGAGTCTGCATACAAAGCACAGACAAGTAACTTCTTTCTGAAACAAGTTCCAGCAAAAGTGATAAACTCTGGATTTTTAAGGCCAATTTTTTGTTAAAAAACAAGTTGAAAGTTAGTACCATGCAACGAATGAGGGGCCAATTAATTCCACGAAAGAAAGGGTGCTGCTTGATCTCATTGGCACCTCCATTAGATCCTAAACGACTACCAGGATCTCGATTTAACAATGCATTTATCAACTGCCTCGCTGCAAGCGTTACCTGTAATCTTGTTATATCAAAATCTTTGGTGACAACACAAATGACATTATACTAGTTCAGACAATTCTGGAGCGCGCACAATAAATTTTGCTCGCTGTAAGAATTATTTTCGTTCGTCAATATGTTTTTTTTTCTTTTACCACTGACAATGAGCTTATGATTCCTTGGTTGAAGAATCTGAAATGAACAGTCCTTGTGCTTAGCCTCATTATCCCCATAATGTTAAAATGCTCATACAAACTTGAAATTATCTTGGCTGGTACATCTCACCAACCAGTTTGATTTTGTTATTCTTATCATTATCATTCACAAAATTGAGGAACCCTATGCCAAGTACATAATATTCCAATCCCACTTAATCAATTTATCTAGCAGGAATATAGAACAAAAAAATGGGAAGACAGAAAGTACAGATTAAATTCTTCAATTCTCGAAACATATATGTTATCTTTGGCGAAGAGATTTTCAAGTGGAAATAGTATCTTACCACTATAATTTCTACTACGTTCTGTTTATAATCATATGGTAAGGAAAATGGCTACTAACCTTTATGATTTAAAAAACCCTTCTAATTAGGCCATCTGCCTTTATATTCTCTTGCTGCCATTAAATTTCCTCATTCATATAAAGGGCAGCTTGGACATCAACAGGCGAGATTCTAAACTACTGGGAGGTTATGTACTTACTGTACCATTAAGTAGATTGACATCAACGATAAGTGTTTTGATTTTAATCCATAAGAGCTCTATAGTACGGACACTTCAACTAAGGTAACATGTCCGTGTCCAACAAGTGTCAATACCGACACTTCTCAAACAATCTAACATAAACATTTTTCATTTTTTATTAAAAATATTATATTTTTAACTCAAAATTATTAGTAAATAACATATAGGTACTCATATTTAAAAGATTCAAGAAAAATTAATGAAAAGTATAAAACTAGATTTATACCATATAAATGAAGAATTTTAAAGAATTTAATCAACGTGTCGACGATGTGTGTTAGTACTTTTCTGAAAAATTGCATGTCGGCATATCCGACACGTATCGTGTCGGACACACTTGTTCGCGTCAGTGCATCATAGCTTAAGGGTTAGTGACATACTTAAATATGGTGAAAAAAGTTATGGAAACCAAACGGAGGTGAGCAACTCAACATTAATTTAACAACTATACTTGTTAGAGTACACGATTTTACCGGAATGCTGCTTGGGAAGGTGAGGTCTTTGTGCAAGATGTTGGCAAATGTCTTCTGCCTATTCTTTCCCNAAAATTATGAATATGTGACCATTAATCACAAAATGTGACTTTTTTATCTTTATTTAATAAATATTTTTAATTAATTAAATAAATACCTGATTTTTGAATTTTTAAACTATTTACCTTATTTTTGAATTGAGGTAAAGAAAACACCTTAAATATGATTTTTTCCCGACTAAAAATCCATCTCTCGCTTCTTATGGCAGCTGTTCGTGTGCGCGCTATGGAGAGAGTGAAAGGAGCAACCAGTTTTGGGGTGATTTCTTGAGAGTTTAGTCACCACCACCTTTAGCATCCTTTGTGGGTTAGTAAAGGGAAATCAGAGTGGGTGAGAGAGGCAACTAAATAGTGCAAGTTTTTAGTTGTGGGTCGAACAAGCCTCGGGTGGCGTTTGTTTGATGGTTTTCTTGACTTGGATTCCAGATTTCTCGAAACTTCCGCCCAACATTTACACTAATTCTTGGCAGTTCAATTTCTAATAACAGTTGTCACATCTTTGACAGCTCTAAATCATTAGCTATCATCAAAAAAGAAAAAGGGTTAAGGAATCAAATTCATCACTCCAACAAGAATATAACTTGTCATTTCCATGGCTTCTCTGTATATCAAGGATATGTTGAACTTAACAGACTTAGATAGTTATATTACATCGCTTAGAATGCAAGTTATAGAGCATCATCGTCCAAAATCTATCATCTGCTGAACCGCCCTGGGTTTATTCTTGTTCTCCTATACAGCATGTGCAAATAATCCCGTCTAGCCGAAGCAGGTCCAAATTTAATGAGTCTGAAAACTTTGCATTCCTATCTTTACATGAGCATATAACTATATATAGCTGATTCTGATGATACCTTTAGCATAACTCCATGGGATGTACAAGCACCCCTTCCTCGTCCCAGTCAACATCTTTTGCACCGCCTTCTTTTCCAATCAATTGAAGAGGCACATCTAATGGTGGTGGAGTCTGCATACAAAGCACAGACAAGTAACTTCTTTCTTCAACAAGTTCCAGCAAAAGTGATGAACCCTGGATTTTTAAGGTCAATTTTTTGTTAAATAACAAGTTGAAAGTTAGTACCATGCAACGAATGAGGGGCCAATTAATTCCACGAAAGAAAGCGTGCTGCTTGATCTCATTGGCACCTCCATTAGATCCTAAACGACTAGCAGGATCTCGATTTAACAATGCATTTATGAACTGCCTCGCTGCAAGCGTTACCTGTAATCTTGTTATATCAAAATCTTTGGTGACAACACAAATGACATTATACTAGTTCAGACAATTCTGGAGCGCGCACAATAAATTTTGCTTGTTGTAAGAATGATTGTCGTTCGTCAATATGTTTTTTTTTTCTTTTACCACTGACAATGAGCTTATGATTCCTTGGTTGAAGAATCTGAAATGAACAGTCCCTATGCTTAGCCTCATTATCCCCATAATGTTAAAAAGCTCATACAACTTGAAATTATCTTGGCTGGTACATCTCACCAACCAGTTTGATTTTGTTATTCTTATCATCATCATTCACAAAATTGAGGCACCCTATGCCAAGTACATAATATTCCAATCCCACTTAATCAATTTACCTAGCAGGAATATAAAACAAAAAAATGGGAAGACAGAAAGTACAGATTAAATTCTTCAATTCTCGAAACATATATATTATCTTTGGCGAAGAGATTTTCAAGTGGAAATAGTATCTTACCACTATAATTTCTACTACGTTCTGTTTATAATCATATGGTTAGGCAAATGGCTACTCAACCTTTATGATTTAAAAAACCCTTCTACTTAGGCCATCTGCCTTTATATTCTCTTGCTGCCATTAAATTTCCTCGTTCATATAAAGGGCAGCTTTGACATCAACAGGCGAGATTCTAAACTACTGGGAGGTTATTTACTTACTGTACCATGAAGTAGATTGACATCAACGATAAGTGTTTTGATTTTAATCCATAAGGGTTCTATAGCACGGACACTTCAACTAGGGTAGCATGTCCGTGTCCAACACGTGTCAATACCGACACTTCTCAGACAATCTACCATAAACATTTTTCATTTTTTATTAAAAATATTATATTTTTAACTCAAAATTATTAGTAAATAACAAATAGGTACTCATATTTAAAAGATTCAAGAAAAATTAATAACAAGTATAAAACTAAATTTATATTATATAAATGAAGAATTTTAAAGAATTTAATCAATGTGTCGGCGACGTGCCGTGTTAGTACTTTTTTGAAAAATCGCATGTCGGCATATCCGACACATATCGTGTTGGACACACGTGTCCGCGTCGGTGCATCATAGCATAAGGGTTACTGACATACTTAAATATGGTGAAAAAAGTTATGGAAACCAAACGGAGGTGAGCAACTCAACATTAATTTAACAACTATACTTGTCAGAGTACACAATTTTACCGGAATGCTGCTTGGGAAGGTGAGGTCTTTGTGCAAGATGTTGGTAAATGTCTTCTGCCTATTCTTTCCCCTGAATGGTGTCCGGCCATAAAGCATTTCATACAACAAAATTCCTGAATTCCAATATAAGTGATCGTGAGACCAGAAAAGAAAATATAGATAAATCGCATAACATGCTTGATGACAAAGTATAAAGGAAACATGCAGCCATGCAGAATAGAGAATCTTGTGAGCTCTATATATTTTTTCTTCTGCAGGAGAAAGAATAAAAGACCTCTTCGAGCACTAGTTTTAAGATGAAAACTGTAACCACGTAGCAGTTATTCTGAAATTTATACCTAATTGCGATGCTAAAATTTCCATGGGTTCCATGCAATTTCTGCTATCATTTTAACATCTATGCTAATTCCGAGCTTGAACTGAATCAATGTTTTCATTACACAATTTATATTTTAATACTAGGGACACAATGTTATTTTTGAATGACAGCAGCAACTATGAAGACCTTTTGCCAGATGGTGTATGAGTGAATTTGGAAACTGTATGGATTCTTGAAAATCTATGTGACATCCGGTTGTTTCATAATAACATAATATTCATCATATAGAAAGTCAAACATAAATTACATAGTTCATATATAAGATTGGCAGAAAATCAAATCATTGATTACAAATCTTCACGCGACATGAGGTGAAAACAGGAGAGGCGTCCTTTGAACTATTTGGTCAATTAGATAATAGAAAGCCTAATAAATATTTGACTGGAAGAAAATGAAACAATGATGATGGATCTCTACATGACATAGTTCAAAATCAGCAAGGCATGTCTTGTAAGAGTGTGACTAGCCTAAAATGAATTCACAAGTATGCAGTTTCTATATAATAAAGTGTGTAATTCATATTTGATGAGAAAGGATAAGCAAGTATACAGTTGCTAACTAAATTCAGGAGATATCCATTTCCATATGCTTACCAAGAGACCACCAATCAATAGCACTACTGTGGCCCTCACCAGTTATGATTTCCTGAAATGAATTCACCAATAGTTAAATAGGTATCTTCAAGAGCTATGGACAGTTTGTATAAATAATATATTTTTTATTTTTTTTGCATTAAATAAACAGAGAAGCTCTGGGCAAAAAAATAACGGTTGTTCTCAAGGAACATTACTCATTTCTCAGAATAACCCTCAAAGCACAAAAAAATGAGAAAATAAGAAAATGAACAGTATACTGCACTCAACTCACTCATAAATCTGGCAAAAGTAGATAACATGAAGTTTATTTGGTATAAATCTTTTCTCTAATTCAACTAATTAGTGTTTATTTCCCTGTTATAATATGAGCTCCCTAGGTGGTGTCAGGCTTTGATCTCCATTCTGATCTTATTTTTCCCATAAAGGTACATCAAAGTCCTTAGTTAAGGATAGTGTATAAAAATCATCTAGACAAGCATAATTATAAGATCAATTCATTTATATTTTTTTCTTTAGAAACTTCTCTTACGAGGTATGACTCGTTCTTATTGACTGATGTCTTCAATTTTAATTGCAGAAGACAATGCCCCTGAACAATTATTTTGTTTGCTAATAAGTAATTAGGAAGAGCAACTATATCACTATAGAAACTAAAATAAACCATACCGGTGCAATGTATTCTTCAGTTCCAACAAATGAATTTGATTGAGTATTTGGTTCTGCAACGAATACTGGAAGTGGATGACTCCTTGATCTTCTACTCTTTGGCGGAGGATGCCTCAAAATCTAGGAAAATTTGTTTAATTTTAGTAGAAATAAAGCAATTGAGAATGGTTGATACTAGAACCTAATAAGCATTGATTTGAAAAATTACAGAATTTACCACACCAGACATTCCATTATTTTTATTTTGTGCATTAAGAGAGCAAGCAGGTCTGTATAACATTCATAATAGTTTTGACAATTAGTAAGAGAAAATTTTAAATAAAAACAACTAGCAACAAAACCTATAATAACTGTGTTGCTTTACAGAATGAGAACCTTTGCAATAATTCTCCTCCTCCATTGGATTTAAAATAGTTCAGCACTGTAGGGGTTTTTCTATATTTAAAATAAAAGCATCTTCTCTGCCTTTCAAGAATCAATTGTATATTGAATTTTTAAGAACTTATGTCCGTTAACTCGTCTTTGTTCCACAAGTGATTTCAGAAAGAGAATGGAAATATAAGCCAAAAGTTGTGGATCCCAAAACTAAAGAAGTATGAATAGATTTGTCACACTGGACAAAATCCATTGAGAAAACAAAACTCAAGTTGAGAACCAGAGAACAGGATCTTACGTAGAACACAAAACTAAAAACTGATAGAAATTTATGAGCTATGATTACTGTGGACCAACATAGAGGAAACAATCATATAGAATTATGTATAAGTAATAGAGCAAAAATATTCTCGCAAGAAGACTGGCATACTTGGGGATTACAAGCTGTCTTAAATGATAGATCGAAGTCAGTTAATACGACGTGCCCATCCTTTTGAAGTAGAATATTTTCGGGTTTCAGGTCCCGATATATTATTCCTGTGATGTGAGAATAGAGAATCAAAAAAGAATTTTAATGCTTGCATGTGAGAGAATGAAACTCCCTGCTTCTAAACAATAGTTTATTTTAAATGGTAGTAACTTAAATAAGTAACGATTTTCTAAGTGCTTCTTTCCAAATCAATACTCTGAATAGATAAATTTTTATTGACATGCTAGCTTTGAAACAATAAAAAGGTGATATGATGCAGTGACTCTTTGTTACTAGGATTTTTTCCTTTTTAATGGCTTATTTTTTTTTCTGTAGTTTTTATTAATGAAAACCAGAAGCCAGAAGCATAACCAAACAAGAACTTGAACTTAACAAATAGCGTTAGCTTCTCAAATTGTTCAAAGGTAAAAAAGTATAAATTATGCTTGTGCAAACAGTCATAGTGCAGCAAGAGCAAATTTATCTACGAAGTTATCAGCTATATGAGTTACCTAAGCAATGAAGATATTCCAAGCCAATGACAACCTCTGCTGCATAAAACCTGGAAAGAAATGACAGAGAGCATTGAAAATTTAATGGTAACCAAACTTGAAAAGTGAATATCTAACGAGCACTTTGACTATAATGGATCAAATTAGATATGGACTTAAGCCCACAACATATAACTTAATCATCAACGAATTTATACTTGACAGATTTTAACACAGTTCAAAACTAAGCAATTTTTTCTCTTATATTTTAAAATGAAGCAATCAATAACTTGGAGATTATTCATCGAAAGAAACATCGACTAGATAAGATATCAAACTAAGAGCAAGATATAATTGAATTAAGGATATAGTTAATCTAGTTTTTTAGTATTTAGATAATTCTATTTGTAATAGTAAATAAACCATGAAGTTTTTGGCATGTTGGATAATATCAGTAGTCCAAATTCAATTACAATAGCATGAAGGAAACCAGAGGCATATAGTCCTGGTTTCTTGCATATAATTGTGATTGATTTAAGGTGAACATCAAACATATAAAGGTAATAACTGAAATTGTTTACAGCAATTAATAGAGGTTTACAATGGAATACCTTGCTGATTCCTCTTTAAATAACTTCAAGGGCTGTTTGTCAAGCACTGCGAATAACTCTCCTCCAGGACAAAAATCTGTTATCAAGCAAACATGTGTAGGCGTCTGGGAGGACAAAGAGACATCAGATGAGAACTTGAACCGTATATGGAGAGTTTCTGACAAAAATATTACTGATATGCAACCACCAAAAATCAGATACCATTTAAAGGCAAGCCTCTTCGACTAGGACATAGTATTGAGTAAAATCATAACACTCACGCAAGTCAAGATTCAAATTTATTAAAGAAAATGCATGTATCATTTCTTCCTCAAAAATCTTACCACATAAATAACTGCAACATGATTAACTAAATGTTATTTTTCATTAGTTTTTCTAACTTAGTTTCTAGCATAGACAAACTTCCCTGTTAATACATACGAATTTCAGAAACCTTTCAAGGTTAACATCATATAGAATAAACAACAAGCTTTTAAAACTTAAAAATTGCAAAAGAATTATAGTTCGACAGTACACATTCCGTCATTATGACATTATGAATATTTATATTGAAAGTTAACAGTATTACCTATTTTCTAGCGTTGTTTCCACATTATCTTAAGTTGGTTTCACTAGATTTAATCCTCCTCGGTATCCTAGATAAGCTGTAACTTATCTAGTATAACTAGATTGTTGTAATGTACCTAATATTTGGGCTCTTTGGCTTCTGTATTTACTTATTTAAAGGCTAGGAGTCTGTATATTTTAAAATGTATTGAAATATAGATAATTATTCTCTTTTATCTTATTTTTCTACAATATTTAATGACTATGCATGTCCATACTTTTGGAGGTGTCCTTGTTCTTTTAGGACAGAGACTACAAAACATAGTTTTAGCTATTAACACTGTTGTATACTAATAAAGAGTCCATATAAATAATTTGACTTAATTTGTGTATGGACCAACATTACAACCCTCTTCTATATCTAGAACTTAAAAAGAATAAGTCAGCAACTCAAGTCATGGATAGACAAAAGGGATACCGTGCTCAATAACCAAAAAAAAAAGGCCAGAATACAACTAAAACTGAGTAGAATAAATTAGTTTATGTGAACATAATTTCTGTGATATCTTCACAACAACGTATTCAATATAAATATTCAACTGAAGATGAGATAAACCACAAGAAACGAGAACCTGAAACGAGGTGTAGAGTGTGGGAAGAAATGGATGATCTAGAAGCGAGATAATTTCTCTTTCAATGCATGCTCGATGAACCTGCAGATTGCTTAATGATGTTAATATTCTATTTCATGCATGACTAATGAGGGACTTGACTTTGTTAGATCGAGATGATTTTTTACAGACCAAGATTTCCCAAGTAGAACCAAATCAGAAATGAATGAGTGTTGAAATGCAAAAATGTGTCAATAAAAGTGATATGGGAGATAACATTTGCAGCTACTCTACCTGAGGAAAGTAGTAGTTGTCAACAGCTTCATTAGATGCAGACCCATTAAAGGGTTTGAACAAAACATATTTACTGATTGCATCTGGCATAGAAATATACCTTTGTATATAATCCTTGTCACTTTATTTTCAAACAAAACTATCTCTATTACTAATTTTATTCTTTAGTAGAAACAGTAAATATAGATGTCGATCCTGCCTAGTTATTATCATTTTCCACAGATTTATTGCAATAATTTATTTTTCATCTAGCTGATGGGAAAAAAACAGGGAATTACTGACACTATTTGTTCTCATAGGATCCTTCACACACCAGTCTAATCTTTATTTGTGTTACTAATAAATACCCTATTGTGTAGAAGAAA